CTCAAATCTGTGGTTTTGAGATAGTTTATGTTCAGCCAACATCATGACCTCCGGCCGATGCTCATCGAGGAATAATCGGAGGTAGTGCCTCTTGTGCCTCGATATTACGGAGTTGATGTTGGCAAATATAAATGTAGTTGACCTAACCATTTATACCTAACATACCTACTAAGGAGGCCATGGCTTTAGCCTGGCTCGCCTTATCCTGACTTTTTAGTTCCTCTGAGAACTGACGAACTTGCATGACTGACGTCAAGAAATCCTTGCCAAAGATTTCGTTGCAAATTTCGTCAAACAGAGTAAACCCGCTGACTACTTGTCCTAAGGACTGTTGTTGTCCCAAAGCAACATTGGTTTTGGGTTGTTGGCCCAAAACAATATTTGCTTTGGGTTGTTGTCCCAAAGGTGTATTGGCTTTAGGTTGTTGGCCCAAAGTCATATTGGCGGCTGGCATCTTTGCCGAAGTAACAGCGGCGAATGATACAGAAGGTTGTATCTTTCCGCTGTTAATAGGGAAACCCTTAGCCGCAGTTTTTGCCGTTTTAGCAGCCTGACCTTCAGCTATTTTAGCCAATAGCTTTAGGAGAGTTGGACAATCGCGCGCATTTGCGGCGTGACCAACACGGTTACAGTTGATGCATTTGAACACGTAGTTCGGCTGCATTGTAACCTTTCCTGTGATGGGGTCAGTCACAGGAACGAGAGTTGGTTTATTTACGCCCTTGGTAATTTTGCACTTTCCTGGGCCATGGTCTCCTGCGCACTTTACGCAGCAATATGGCAAGCCACAATTAACCGACACATGAAAGTGTCTTTGGCAATTGTGACATTGCGTTAGACCTTTCTTTTTGTCCTTTCTAAAGTGGACATCACTAGTAAAAAGGCGACGTATTTTGTAAATACGTTCAATATCTGATCCCTTGCCCAAATGGATCAGAAATTTAGCGCTTCCTAGTTTTGTGACACGCTTTATGTCGATATTTAGGTTCAAAGCTTTGAGACCTGTTTCGACATGATTGGTGTCATACGAGTCCGAAAGGCCCTCCAAAATTACGGAGTACGGTTTTTGGCCTTTAGGTGCATGGGTATAGTAGTGTATAACCTCTTTAGCAAAGTAAGCCTTTACCTTCTCATGGTCTTCCAATGATGTTAGGTGAAAGGCGCTTATTTTCCTATTTACCAATTTAATGGTAAATTTGTCATGCCCCAACAAGCTAATTAAAGCGTCAATAATGCCCTTAACATTAACGTCAAATGTCGATATAGCTGGTATCGACTTACCTGACTTGCCTGGTGTAGCATCCTTTCGAGGTTTGGCGGCTGCTGCTGCTGACGTGGTTGCTACTGCTGCTGCTGCGGTTGCTGCTGCTGGCTCTTCTTTGGTACTGTTGGTTATTTGCACCACTTTCACCTTCCGTTTGGCTGCTTTGGTCGCTTTTCCTACGACCTTGACATCCTTCTTCCCAGGCAGGATGGGCTTGTTGACTGCCTGTGATGGAGCACGGCTTGCTTCCATCGATAAGTTATTTTCTTCTTCGTTTTTTGCCACTGGCGGTGTGCACACAGACTGCACCACTGGCAGTGTGGGCAGTTCTACCTCCATAGCGGTAGTATCCAATTTGCTATGTGAGTTCACCAGAATCTCACATGCATTTATAGAGAATTTCTTCTCATAAGCTGCAATTATTCTTTTGCAGCTGTTGACCTTCAGGAATTCAGCATTGAGCTGCCTGGCGGTCTCCTCTTGCCTGGCCTTAACGGCTGCCAACTCGGCCGATAAGGCTTTGTTGTCCTCCATAATGTTGGACAACAATGCTTCCAACTGGTTGACTTTCGCCTCCAGTTTTAGTGATTCATAAGGAGAATCACCCTCAGTAGAGCCACGTTTCTTTTTGCGTTTCCATTGCTTTTCAACAACGGCGCCATCAGTGGTGGAGTCGTCTGTGGTCTCTCCTATTGCCGCCACAGACAAGGGGCGCGGCTTTGCCCATAGGTACAGCAGTGGCGAGTTGTGGGGGCACTGCATTACCGACCGTTGGAAAATTGTGGTCGGTGAGATTGACGGTGTTACCGACCGAAACTGCATTATCGACAGTTCGGCCGGCGAGATGAACTGTATTACCGACCGGCACTGCATTACCATAAGGTACTGCATAACCGACCGGTACTGCATTACCAACACCCACGGTCATCGGCACTACATTACCGACATGTTGTACTGCATTACCGACCGAGGGTCCCGGCACGGCATTACCATCGGGCACCTCCATGGTGTCCGAACACACCCTTATGTGGGCCAAGTGCCGACGGCAAAATTATTTGCAATTTGCCGACGGAACACACTTGACAATTTCCCGACGGCAAAACACAAATTTTAAAAATGCCGACGGGATTTCACTTTATAACTTGGAGCCTTTATCTCTAAAGTTTGAAACACTCCAAGTTCACTTTATTTTTTTATTTTCACTTTTTCACTTTTTAATCACTAGCACTGGTGGTCCGCACACTCCAAGAGCTCAAAGCAGAATGACCTTTTTTTTTCGGGCGATTCCGCTCGTATTTATACAAAATTTGAGGCTCTCTCCAACCATTTAACGCACAAGTAAAGTATGTACAATTATATGTGTGTGTGTACATTTGCCGTTAGTATTGGATGTTCTCTTTTGTGTGTGCGTGTACATTTGGTATACCGATAGGTAAGAATTCACTAACATATCAACCCCGAAAGTTGATGCTAACAGCACAATTTTCTATAAATACTCGTTTTCGTGGCGATGGCAACGTTATTACAGTGTTAACAGTGTTTGTGTGCATATCTCTAGTGAAGTGAAAAAAATTCAAGTGAAAAATGGCTCGTACTAAGCAAACTGCCCGTAAATCGACCGGTGGAAAGGCTCACCGTAAACAACTAGCTACCAAAGCTGCCCGTAAGAATGCCCCAGCCACCGGCGGTGTTAAGAAGCCTCATCGTTTCCGTCCTGGTACAGTTGCTTTGCGTCAAATCCGTCGTTACCAGAAGAGTACTGGATTGTTGATCCGCAAATTGCCCTTCCAACGTTTGGTTCGCTTAAGATTTCAAAACTGACTTGCGTTTCCAGAGCTCTGCTGTTATGGCTTTGCAAGAAGCCAGCGAAGCCTACTTGGTTGGTCTTTTCGAAGATACTAACTTGTGCGCCATCCATGCTAAGCGTGTCACCATCATGCCTAAGGATATCCAATTGGCCAGACGTATTCGTGGAGAACGTGCTTAAATTCTTGACGTTTTAAAAGCAACAATTTTACAACAAAACAATCGGTCCTTTTCAGGACCACAAATATTTTACAAAAAAGAGATATTTTTTACTCAATCTACAATTTTTAGTATTTTTTTGAAATAAATAAAAAGAATTTAGGGCTTTGATTATTTTTGAAAATTTTTAAAATAAAGAAGTATTTTTTTGATGTTAGTTTTTTTCCTTGATTATTTTTCGTCACTTTATTTTTTTATTTTATTTTGATCAAATATTTTATTTTTTTAATTTTATTTGAATTTTTTGAATTATCCATTTTGATATTTTCCTTTAATTTGCAAAATTATTATCATTTTTGTACTCCCTCTTCGAAAAAAATTCTATGACTCATAAAAACAACCACCACATACATTTTTCTAACGGGATTTCTTTGTCCATTTTGTTTTATTTTATGCCCCTTCGATCATTTTTTTCTGTTGTGGACTATTCAATTTAGTGGGAAAAAATTCTCTGCCTTTAATTTATACGAATTATTTCATGTGAATTTTAAAAATTTCCAGCTAAATTTTTGCCCCTCCTATTTAATTGTTTTCAGGAATGATGTATGAAATATGTTTTATTCCTTTTCAGCAAAATTTTTAAATGTTTTAAAAGCATTTTAAGAGATTTGTTTATGAATTTTCTACGTATGGAATCACAAAATTATTTTTGTCCGATGTATTTAGAGAAATTGGTCATAATTTATTATTTTCAAAAGTCGAAGAAGAAAATAATTGATTTGTTGAGAATTTTGATGTAAAATATAATTTAAAGTATTATAAAAAGAAATGCCAATAACATCTGCCCTCAAAGTTGATCGAAAAACAATTTTGTAAAACGCAATTAATTTCATGACATTTCCAAGTGTTCTAGGTGATATTTGCCTGTAAAGAGGAATTTCTTTTTGGGAATATTTTTTCATAAAATTAACTTTTCCCCGTAAATTATGACTTTTTGTTAATAATGTTATATTTTGATGTAAATATACAAATTCTGAAATGTTTTTTAAGAAATTTTTATAAAACTTATTAATATTTGAGCTTTCAAATTTATTTCAAGATTTTATGCCAACAAGAGGATTTCTGCTGTCATAGACCACATAATAATTTCAATTTTTTCACATTGTAAAATATGAAATTTCATCGATATTTTTCTTTGATCGTAAAGTAAACATATCAGGCTACATTTTCAGAAAGAATTTTCAATTAAATTTTCATGAAAAATTCGATTTTTTTAAATTTTAGTTGGAAATTTGTGATTACATTTTTATAATCTGCCAAGTTAAACGTTTATAATTCACGGCAAGTGATAATTACACCAAACTTTCTTTAACATCTGAAATCTATACTTTAAAGTTATAAAACATTTTTAGTGAAAATTATCAAAGCTTGTTCAGGAAAATTTAATTTCTCCGAAAACTTTTGTAAAAAATTAAACACGCTTCCACACAATTTTTCGAAAAATTTACCAATTGACTCATATGCACATCTCATCTTTTCGATGTACCTACACTTTAGCTCGCCGCTAACAAAAATAATAGTACACATAAATTTGTGAGTGTATTTGTGTTAACAGTGAAATATAAACCAAACAGTGAATAACCATGTATGACGCCGCCGTTGTTGAAGCCACCGCCTCCCCAGTTGCCGCTGTTGAGAAAAAGGCACCAAAAAAGCCGCTGCCAAAGCAAAGAAGCCATCAGCTGCCCCTACCCACCCTCCAACCCAGCAAATGGTTGATGCCGCCATCAAGACCCTGAAGGAACGTATAGGTTCATCATTGCCCGCCATCAAGAAATACTTGGCCAGCACCTACAAAGTAGATGCCCAAAAATTGTCCCCCTTCATCACGAAGTACTAAAGGTAAGGGTGCTTCTGGTTCATTCAAATTATCTGCTTCGGCCTCCAAGGAAAGAAGAAGAAGGCCCCAGCCGCTGGTGACAAAAAGAAGAAGGCTGCCGCCCCTAAAAAGGCCGCTGGTGAGAAGAAGGCAGCTGCCAAAAAACCCTCTGCCGCCAAGAACACCGCTAAAAAGAAGAAGGCCAACAAAACAAAGGCTCCCAAGAAAACCGGTACAGTTAAAGCTAAACCAGCAAAGACCGCCGCCAAAGCATCTGCCACTAAACCAAAGGCACCCAAGGCAAAAACTGCAGCTGCTAAGCCCAAAAAGGCTGCAGCAGCAAAGAAGCCAACTGCTAAGAAAGCCGCCGCCATGAAGTAATTTTTCCCAGAAAGATTACTTTTTCCACAATATTTTCGATATTCGAAAACATACTATCTAACAGCCCTTTTCAGGGCTACAAATTAAATTAAAAAAGAGAAAAATATTAATTTTCAACAGTTGTCGTATATATTTGTTACCTAAATAAATAAGTAAATTTGTACACGTGTTTAATTTTGGGAAAAAAATTACTTTCTCTAATTACTGTTCTTATTAGGTAATTTTATTGAGCCAATATAATGGTGGACGCCACTGGATTATTTTTTAACCCAGGTCATAAAAGATAATAAAATATTTAAAATTTTTCCTAATTACCCACAGGTCATAATTCTCGAAAATCCCCATAATTTGGTCATTTTTATAATTTCTACTTAATTTTAAAAATTTTGATATTTTCGTATTCTCTGTTTAATTTCACAAATTTCATCAAAAAATGACATTTTGGCAAAATATTTACATTTTCCATCAATATATTTTTTCCTTTGAAAATTTCTGCCTCAGCCTTATATTTCGTTGCTTTGCCGTTGTGCTGTAACAAAATGCTCACACATACAGGATGCCCATTCGATGTTGATCAACGACGGCAAGGCAAATCACCACTAACACACGCACACATAAACGACGACGATGGCTGTTATAGCATATCGCACAAGCAAGCATAGAACCCAAGCAAACATGCAAAGGCTAAACAGAGGTACCTATGCGAGTTAGCTAAATGCATGGAAAAAAACATTGTATAGAGAAATATATAATTCTTATGGAATTTTATTCGTTTATTACTAAATAATGATAAATTGTAGCTTCAACAAAATATGATCTCTTTTGAAATGTTTTTTGTGGCCCTGAAATGGGCCATTTAAGGTAGTATTTCGACGCAAAATGAAAAATATCAAGACATATACTTGGAGCTGGTGTATTTAGTAACAGCCTTTGTACCTTCACTGACGGCGTGCTTAGCCAATTCACCGGGCAACAATAGACGGACGGCGGTCTGGATTTCCCGACTGGTGATGGTCGAGCGCTTGTTGTAGTGGGCCAAATGAGAGGCTTCGGCGGCAATACGTTCGAAGATATCGTTGACGAAACTGTTCATGATGCTCATGGACTTGGAGGAGATACCGGTGTCGGGATGGACTTGCTTCAACACTTTGTAAATGTAGATAGCGTAACTCTCCTTACGCTTGGTACGTCTCTTCGACTTATCGCCCTTGGTAATGTTCTTTTGGGCTTTGCCGGCCTTCTTTGCTGCTTAACCACTGGTTTTAGGAGGCATTTTCACTTATTATTTTTTTGAATCACACAAACACTTTTAACACTGTTCACAAATGATAACCAAAACGGCCAGCTATACAGAATTTGTAGATTGTAGTCGACAAGAATTTCAGGTAGTCACAGCTAGCTGGCACACAAAAGGCAAACCACCCCATTATTGAAGAAATGTGTGTGTGAAAAAAGTATAACTAGCACGTTTCGAGGCGAAAATTTTTTTCATTTGTGTTTTTCAGTGCTTAAGTGAAGTGTTCAAAACTAAAATAAAGTGAAAATGTCTGGTCGTGGTAAAGGTGGCAAAGTTAAGGGAAAGCCAAAGTCCCGTTCCAATCGTGCTGGTCTTCAATTCTCCGTCGGTCGTATCCATCGTCTGTTGCGCAAAGGCAACTATGCTGAGCGTGTTGGTGCCGGTGCTCCCGTCTATTTAGCCGCTGTCATGGAATATTTGGCTGCTGAAGTCTTGGAATTGGCTGGCAATGCTGCCCGTGACAACAAGAAGACTCGTATCATTCCCCGTCACTTGCAATTGGCCATCCGTAACGACGAAGAATTTAACAAATTGCTGTCTGGCGTTACCATTGCCCAAGGTGGTGTATTGCCAAACATCCAAGCTGTTCTCTTGCCCAAGAAGACCGAAAAGAAAGCCTAAATTATTTCGAAAGGTATTATGGAATGAAGAAGAAGAATACAGACCATCGTATAATTCCATAGAAAAATCAACCAATCCGTCCTTTTCAGGATGACAAAAAATATTTGAAAAGAGAAAGAAAATTGCGTCAAGCTACATTATTTGCATTAATATTAAAAAAGAAAAATACAAATTCTCAATAATTTTCTATGAGACGTTGGCAGAATAACTGTTTTTCGTTGTCAGTTGCATATTTGTGTTGTCGTTGTTGTTGTCTCTTATGATTTCAGGAATAGAGCACGAGAGAGAGATCGTGGCGTCACCAAATGAGTATGTATACTATGAGGAGGAAGAAGAAGAAACATGTTGCATTGGTGGTGGCTCGCAGTAATTTTATGTGAAAAAATCGTACCCCGGCGCATTCTTGGAAATAAATTTAAGAAATTTCGAATAATAAATAGATTTTATGAAAATAACAGATACTTTAAATGAAATCACAAATTTTTAAATTAATAGTAAGGAAATATATAAAATAATTTTAAATTTATAATAAGGAAATAAATAAAATAATTTTAAATAAAACGAAGAAATGATTTTTAAAAAATAATCTAATGAAAAATTAAATAGAAATTAGTTGAAAATTAAATAAAAAAATTTAACATAAATAAAATAAAATTCATTTAATGAAGAATTTTTAAATAAAATTCAATAATTTTAATTTTTGATACAATTTTAAAGGAAATGATTAGTGAATAATTTACAAATTTTTAAAGAAATTTTTTAAGATAATATGAATCAACGATCTATTTAATAAAAATCTAATATATTCAACCACTTCAAATTAAATTTTGAGAAAAGATTCAACAATATTTAAAAAAGTGAAAATGAAATTCCTTTGCTAACACATCATGGTTGTTCTTTAATAATATCGACTAAACAGCACCAATACATACATAAAGCGACGCTATGTTATACTCATATTATACGAAAAGGAAGAAGAAGAAGAACTTAATGTGTTTAGCGATGTGAGTTGCCGACGGCATGTTTATGATCGTGAATAAAATACGAGACCTCGGTAAAACAATGTTTGCGGTGAAAATATTCAGGAAAAAATTGAAACGAGTAAGTATTTATATTTTTTCTTTATTTGATTTTTAGACATTTTTCACGAATTGTGAGAAAAAAAATACGAGAAAGCTGAAGAAGAAAATTATTAGAAATTTTAACATAAAATTACTACATTTCCTAAGGTAAGTGTTTATTTTTTATTTATTTTAATTTAAAAAAATAGTTTTCAACAAGAAAGTATCTCTTTTTTGATATATTTTGTGGTCCTGAAAAGGACCGATTGTTTTGTTGTAAAAAAGATTTCTCCAAATTGCGTCAAGAATTTTTTAACCGCCGAAACCGTACAAGGTACGGCCTTGTCTCTTCAAAGCATATACGACATCCATAGCGGTGACGGTTTTACGCTTAGCATGTTCGGTGTAGGTGACAGCATCACGACTAACGTTTTCCAAAAACACCTTCAGAACACCACGAGTTTCTTCGTAAATCAGGCCAGAGATACGTTTTACACCGCCACGACGAGCCAAACGTCTAATAGCTGGCTTGGTAATACCTTGGATGTTATCACGGAGCACTTTCCTGTGACGTTTAGCGCCACCTTTTCTATGTTCTCTTTTGTGTGTGCGTGTACATTTGGTATACCGATAGGTAAGAATTCACTAACATATCAACCCCGAAAGTTGATGCTAACAGCACAATTTTCTATAAATACTCGTTTTCGTGGCGATGGCAACGTTCAGTCTGTGTTGTGTGTTCAAACAGTGAAGTTGATTAGCGGAGAAAATTAAATTGCGTTTTTGTGTCTGTGCGTTTGAAAAACATCTACAACAGTGCGTTTTGTTCTCCTCTGTGTTTGGCTCACAATAGCTGATATATACCCCTGTCGTCAAATACTAAGGTTGTTTGCCCGTCGGCGCGCCATCTAGTGGTTACCAATATCCACTATGCCAGCCGATGGAGCAATGAAATCATCTGGTAACTCTATATCCGTTACCGACATGGCAATGCCGATGGTATGTGTCTCGGCTAAAAAGAGGGATGGCATACAAAATGTCGACGCTGTGAATACCTTTTGCGAACCTGCGAAAATGGCCGATACTACAAAAAAATTGTGTACATCCGCTATGGCCCTAGCTAATGCGAGCACAATGGATTGTGCTATTCACAATAATAGTGAAATGTCCGATGGTTCGAACATTGGAACAACTAGTGGTGGATATCAAGTTGTGATTTCTAATAAACACCGAAAAAGAAAGAAAAAAAGGTGTAATAGCAATAGCGACCCGTCCTTTGAATCAGCAAAAATGAATGCTTTGATTCAGCAGCTTCAAAAGGACTTATCAAAAGCACTTGAAGAAAATCGTGCACTGATGGCGAAACTTGACGCTGTCATCAAGTCTCAGGATGATACAGCTCGTAAGCTATCCCTATCCCATGCTCGAGAAATAAGTTTCCATCGCACTATAGTCGACTTGCAGAGAAAGCTAGACATTCAAATGGGTGTTTTACAACCAAAACCACCACCAAGCTATCCCTATCCCATGCTCGAGAAATAAGTTTCCATCGCACTATAGTCGACTTGCAGAGAAAGCTAGACATTCAAATGGGTGTTTTACAACCAAAACCACCAATGAATCTCTCCCCTCCATCATATTTAATGGATCCTGCTGGCTCCCAGCCAATTGTGAATGATGCCAATCTTCAACAGAAGGAAGATTGGGTTGCCGAGGTAGCCGAAGACCTTGGTATGGTGATTGACTTGATGCCCCAGCCTGTAAATATGGATGTATCCCAAGGGGCAATTCCAAAAAAGAACCCTGTTCCGGAGGAAGTTATTCCACATAAGAAAGTGACAAAACAAGCTAACCTGAAGAATAGCGACGCAGAGGCAGCTGTTGGTACCAAGACGTCATCACCTAGTATAAGAAATCCTGTTGGCAAATCCATGCCAGCGTTTACTATTTATGATGTAGGAGTAAAAGAAATATCGGGAATCCTCAACCAAAGGTTTAACTCAGGTGAGTTCTCTATCTCCTATATTCGCCCTTCCTTGTTGTCCCTTAAGGTTAAGGGCCTTAAAACTTATGAGGATGTTAAACAGCTGCTAGTCGATCGTGGCTATAAGTTCCACACCCATACACCGAGAGCGTTGTTGCCCTACATGCTGGTGATAGAAAATCTTAGCAATGAATTTTCTAATGACGAGGTGAAGGATTTTCTTCAAAATAGGGTATCTTTTCCTATTGAAGTGTTAGGTGTATCTAATGTTTCCCCTAATAAATGGCTTCTCCGAGTTTCAAAACAAACTGATATTTTGAGCTTGTATAACCTCAGGAGAATTTTAGATTGTGACATTAGAATTAGAAAAGACAAAGGTCGTGAGTTCATACTTTGCTTTAATTGGCAGCGTCCGGGTCATGTTGCAATCAACTGTACAATGCCCCCCCGCTGCAACAAATGTCTGGATAGTCATCCTTCCTCAAAATGTCCCATACCTTCCAAGGAAAATGAAGTTTTTGTGGACAGGTAAAATTACCAAAACCCCCATGCACGTAGTCAGCTGTGTGAACTGCAATAAAGGTGGCCATACAGCTTCATCCCGCGATTGCCCACGCAGATTGGCTATTATCGCTAGAAAAGCAAAAAATCGAGCTGATGCCCAAGTAAAAGTTGAAGCCCGTTCCCAAAGGTTCTCACTTTTGCGGGAAGGGGTAACATTTGCGGCTTCTTTGGGTAAAAATACGTCTCCGAATGTTGTTGCACCTAGAAATAATAGAGAATCTGTTGCTTCAGCCCCAAACGTATTAAATGCTGGAGTAAATGCTACAAATATAATTCAATTTTTTGGTACCGATTATGGAAAGAAATGTGAGAAAGCTAGACAATTTGGACCTATTTTCACAGAAATAAAAAATAAAGCGGGATTAGATGCAGCAATGTCTGCATGGCTTCTATGTATAGCTGGGGATGTCCAATTTTAAAATTGTGCTTCTAAGTGCGAACTCACTCATCTCTTTAGCCAAGAGACATTACCTTAAAGCTTTTATTAATGAAAGACAACCTGATGTTCTTCTTGTGGCTGAGCATAAGCTTACACCATCACATAGATTTTGTTTAGAAGGTTTTAGATGTTTCTTTCAATACAGGGAATGTGGTGGTGGAGGCGGGACTGCGGTGTTTATTAAAGACAAATACCACTGCGATCACGTCTCCAGCACCACGGGCGAGGTTGAATCGTGTCTGTTGAGAACCTTAAGGGATGATGGTTCCATCTTGTTCCTCGCTGCTGTATATTGTCGCCCTGTGAATAATTTCCAAGTGTCTGATCTGCAGCCTTTATTTGACCTATCCCTAATGGGAGATGTCCTTATTGGATTAAATTTAAATGCCAAACATCCGTCATGGGGTGGCACAGAAATTAATGCTAGGGGTAGAGCCTTGGCTAATTATCTGATAGATTGTCCAAATCTCCACATCTTCTCCTCTGACAGTCCCACAAGACCTAACTCGGGATTGGGTTCATACATTGATATATTCATACGATCCCCAGGTTTGTCCTTTTTAGGAGGTAACAATATGGCCAATGCCCTAGATTTTGAATCGGACCATAGGGCCCTGGAGATAATTCTTGATTTTGGTGACTTAAGAAACAGGGAAACTAGGAGCTTTTATAATTTTGACAAAATGAATGTCAACCGTTTTCAAAACAAAGTCCGACAAGGTCTTTCCGAAACTTGTTTGCCTATCGACAGAAATGTCTCCATCCAAGACATTGACTCGACTGTCAAGCACTTGGAAGGTGTTTTTAGAAACGCGATTGACTCTTCTGTTCCCCGTGTTAAATCGAAGTGTAAGGTATTAGGGGACCTCCCCCCACGAATTCTGAATTTTATAAAAGAACGAAGAAGAATCAGCCGAGCTTTACGCAGATCTATTGATCCATCCCTGATAAAAATTTTAAAAGCGGATATCAAGAACTTAGATAGGATAATAGCTGATTCCATTCGTATTTTTGAAGAAGAACGCTTCCACAATTTCCTTGAAAGCATCACTATAAACAATAGAACCTTTGGGAAGATTAAAGCTGCGGCAGGAGTTGCTTATAAAGATAATGTAGGAAATTTAAGTAAACCTGATGGCTCATACATTGTGGAAGACAGTCTTAAAGCTGAGGCTTTAGCGGATCGGCTTGAGAACGCCCTTGGATCCACTGATGTGTTAGTTGACGATTCTGACCGAAGCTCCATAAATAGCGCTATTGGAGATTTGGAAGACCGGTCGTCTATGATCAACTTCTCCGGTACATTCACAGCCGATGGGTCTGCTATTGATAATTTCGATAGATGGATGAACGCAGGTTTTGTTTCACCTAGCGATGTTGGCGAAGCGCTTGCGAGAAGACCGGCGCGAAAATCATGTGGCTTAGACAGAATCCCAGACACAGCCCTAAAAAGAGCTGGCTCTGTCCTTTTTGGGTTCCTGTCTATACTCTTTAACCATTCTTTTAATTTTGGGTACTTTCCAAAACCCTGGAAAGAGGCCATGGTTATTCCCATTTTAAAAAAGGGCTCTGCGCCGTCGGACTGTGGGAGCTATCGTCCCATTTCGATGCTGTAAGCATTCGGAAAGCTGTATGAATCTATTATACTTATAAGACTCAGGAAGTTTGTTGAGGACAAAAGAATTCTAAAAGATTCTCAATTTGGTTTTAGCGCTAGACATTCTACGTCCCACGCCCTTACTGTCCTGACCTCTTTTATAATTAAGGGTTTTGATCGTAGATATGGAACCATAGCTGTTGGACTCGATTTTGCTGGGGCATTTGATTCTGTGTGGCATGGGGGTATCTTGTTCAAATTAAAAGAATTTGGTTGTGATGCTCAAACTTGCAGATTAGTGGCAAGCTTCCTTCGGGGTAGGAGTTTCAAATTGAAAGTCGGAGACCACCTTTCCACTGAGAGATCGGTCCGAGCAGGTGTTCCCCAGGGATCTCTGCTGGGTCCCATTCTCTATAACATCTTCATTAGTGACATGCCCGAACCACCCCAGGGGGGCTTGTTACTTCTGTATGCGGATGACGTTATCTTAGCAATGTCCGGACCTAGGGCGACATCTCTTTCCTCCCGCTTGAATACTTGGCTTGAGGCCTTACATAGATACTTCTCTATGTGGGGCCTCAAACTAAACGTTGACAAATGTACGGCAATAGTATCCAAAGGTAAACCACGAGTCGTTTTCCCTAATTTCAGATCCTTCCACCCTATACTTAAAGTGGGGGACGAAATAATTCCTGTAAAGGATAAAATCAGATATTTGGGAGTTATCCTCTGTGAGAAACTAGAATTTATCAGGCACGTGGATTTTATTCTTGAACGTGCGAAAAAAATGTATTTTGCATATCAGGGTGTGCTTCGACATAACGGTGGCCTTTCAAATTCCATTAAATTTCTATTGTACAAACAGGTAATTAGACCCATAGTTTCCTATGCTTTTCCGGTATGGTTCCCCATTTTGTCGAGCCAGATGGAGAGACTTAGGAGATGGGAAAGGGCTATTTTAAACTATTGTCTAGGGCTGAGACCATCTATCAGATCTGATGGGTCAATTAGAAAGCCATCATGTAGGGCAACATATGACACGGCTGGCATTGAGCGGATTGATCGGTTCCTCATGAGGGGGGCCTTGAACTTTGTACAGGGTGCACGGCAGCTGGAGAATAATTTGGTTGAGGATTCCCTGTATTGCCCATATGATGCAGAGGCTCTGCCCTCAAGAAAGCACTTCCCACCAGGGTCTCTACCTAAACTCCTCGAAGAAGGTCTTTTATATAACGAATTAGATGAACTGTTATTTTACCACAGGAGGTATAATTCCATGAATATCGTTGATACCGTATATAAAACGACTCAGTAATCTTTGTAAATATTATTTTTGTCTTAGACCTAGTTTTTAATTAGATAGTAAGTAGTCTATAAGTTAATGTAGTTTATTTTTTAATATTACCATGTCCTTGCCCTTTTTTACATTGATTTTTTTGGGGTTTTCTGATTTTTGTATTTAATTATTTGTATAATTGCCGCTGGCGGAATTCTGCAGCGTTTTAATATACTTGTAGTAGATAGCGAATAGCAATATGTTTATTTTATTCCTAATTTAGCAGTAAGTCATGCTGTATAGATTTTAAGTATTTTATCGATAAATATGGCCTTAGGCAAAACGAAAAACGAAGCGAAAAAGATGGCAACGTTATTACAGTGTTAACAGTGTTTGTGAAGTGAAAAAAAATCAAGTGAAAAATGGCTCGTACTAAGCAAACTGCCCGTAAATCGACCGGTGGAAAGGCTCCCCGTAAACAACTAGCCACCAAAGCTGCCCGTAAGAGTGCCCTAGCCACAGTTGCTTTGCGTGAAATCCGTCGTTACCAGAAGAGTATTGAATTGTTGATCCGCAAATTGCCCTTCCAACGTTTGGTTCGTGAAATCGCTCAAGATTTCAAAACTGACTTGCGTTTCCAGAGCTCTGCTGTTATGGCTTTGCAAGAAGCCAGCGAAGCCTACTTGGTTGGTCTTTTCGAAGATACTAACTTGTGCGCCATCCATGCTAAGCGTGTCACCATCATGCCTAAGGATATCCAATTGGCCAGACGTATTCGTGGAGAACGTGCTTAAATTCTTGACGTTTTAAAAGCAACAATTTTACAACAAAACAATCGGTCCTTTTCAGGACCACAAATACTTTACAAAAAAGAGATATTTTTTTACTCAATCTACAATTTTTAGTATTTTTTTGAAATAAATAAAAAGAATTTAGGGCTTTGATTATTTTTGAAAATTTTTAAAAAATTATAAATTTTTGCCCCTCCTAATTAATTTTTTTCAGGAATGATGTATGAAATATGTTTTATTCCTTTTCAGCAAAATTTTTAAATGTTTTAAAAGCATTTTAAGAGATTTGTTTATGAATTTTCTCCGTATGGAATCACAAAATTATTTTTGTCCGATGTATTTAGAGAAATTGGTCATAATTTATTATTTTCAAAAATCGAAGAAGAAAATAATTGATTTGTTGAGAATTTTGATGTAAAATATAATTTAAAGTATTATAAAAAGAAATGCCAATAATATCTGCCCTCAAAGTTGATCGAAAAACAATTTTGTAAAACGCAATTAATTTCATGACATTTCCAAGTGTTCTAGGTGATATTTGCCTGTAAAGAGGAATTTCTTTTTGGGAATATTTTTTTCATAAAATTAACAAAAATTTGACAAAATAACTTAGAAAATGGCTTCTAATACTATTTTTAATAAATTTTAGAACAAATTATGTTAAATTTCATAAAAAATATTGCAAAATGAAAATACATAACCGTTTGTCACTGAATGCCTGTACATTGGTAGTATGAAGTATTCTGGGGATTTTGTAACTTTTCCCCGTAAATTATGACTTTTTATGAATAATGTTATATTTTGATGTAAATATACAAATTCTGAAATGTTTTTTAAGAAATTTTTATAAAACTTATTAAGATTTGAGCTTTCAAATTTATTTCAAGAAAAACTTTTCTTCATTGAAATTATGCCAACAAGAGGATTTCTGCTGTCATAGACCACATAATAATTTCAATTTTTTCACATTGTAAAATATGAAATTTCATCGATATTTTTCTTTGATCGTAAAGTAAACATATCAGGCTACATTTTCAAAAAGAATTTTCAATTAAATTTTCATGAAAATTTCGATTTTTTTAAATTTTAGTTGGAAATTTGTGATTACATTTTTATAATCTGCCAAGTTAAACGTTTATAATTCACAAACGGCAAGTGATAATTACACCAAACTTTCTTTAAAACATAGCCTGAAATCTATACTTTAAAGTTATAAAACATTTTTAGTGAAAATTATCAAAGCTTGTTTAGGAAAATTTAATTTCTCCGAAAACTTTTGTAAAAAATTAAACACGCTTCCACACAATCTTTCGAAAAATTTACCAATTGACTACTATGCACATCTCATCTTTTCGATGTACCTACACTTTAGCTCGCCGCTAACAAAAATAATAGTACACATACATTTGTGAGTGTATTTGTGTTAACAGTGAAATATAAACCAAACAGTGAATAACCATGTCTGACGCCGCCGTTGTTGAAGCCACCGCCTCCCCAGTTGCCGCTGTTGAGAAAAAGGCACCAAAAAAAGCCGCTGCCAAAGCAAAGAAGCCATCAGCTTTCCCTTGAAAGGTGCCGTTGCCAGTGGAAAACTGATCCAAACTAAAGGTAAGGGTGCTTCTGGTTCATTCAAATTGTCAGCTTCGGCCTCCAAGCAACCCAAAGCCAAGACTGCCGAAAAGAAGAAGAAGGCCCCAGCCGCTGGTGACAAAAAGAAGAAGGCTGCCGCCCCTAAAAAGGCCGCTGGTGAGAAGAAGGCAGCTGCCAAAAAACCCTCTGCCGCCAAGAAGACCGCTGAAAAGAAGAAGGCCGACAAAACAAAGGCAAAGGCTGCCAAGAAAACCGGCACAGTTAAAGCTAAACCAGCAAAGACCGCCGCCAAAGCATCTGCCACTAAACCAAAGGCACCCAAGGCGAAAACTGCAGCTGCTAAGCCCAAAAAGGCCGCAGCAGCAAAGAAGCCAGCTGCTAAGAAAGCCGCCGCCAAGAAGTAATTTTTCCCAGAAAGATTACTTTTTCCACAATATTTTCGATATTCGAAAACATACTATCTAACAGCCCTTTTCAGGGCTACAAATTAAATTAAAAAAGAGAAAAATATTTATTTTCAACAGTTATCGTATATATTTGTTACCTAAATAAATAAGTAAATTTGTACACGTGTTTAATTTTGGGAAAAAAATTACTTTCGCTAATTGCTGTTCTTATTAGGTAATTTTATTGAGCCAATATAATGGTGGACGCCACTGGATTATTTTTTAACCCAGGTCATAAAAGATAATAAAATATTTAAAATTTTTCCTAATTACCCACAGGTCATAATTCTCGAAAATCCCCATAATTTGGTCATTTTTATAATTTCTACTTAATTTTAAAAATTTTGATATTTTCGTATTCTCTGTTTCATTTCACACATTTCATCTAAAAATGACATTTTGGCAAAATATTTACATTTTCCATCAATATATTCTTTCCTTTGAAAATTTCTGCCTCAGCCTTATATTTCGTTGCTTTGCCGTTGTGCTGTAACAAAATGCTCACACATACAGGATGCCCATTCGATGTTGATCAACGACGGCGAGGCAAATCACCACTAACACACGCACACATATACGACGACGATGGCTGTTATAGCATATCGCACAAACAAGCATAGAACCCAAGCAAACATGCAAAGGCTAAACAGAGGTACATATGCGAGTTAGCTAAATGCATGGAAAAAATCATTGTATAGAGAAAAATATATTTCTTATGGAATTTTATTCGTTTATTACTAAATAATGATAAATTGTAGCTTCAACAAAATATGATCTCTTTTGATATGTTTTTTGTGGCCCTGAAAAGGGCCTTTTAAGGTAGTATTTCGACGCAAACTGAAAAATATCAAGACATTTACTTGGAGCTGGTGTATTTAGTAACAGCCTTGGTACCTTCACTGACGGCGTGCTTAGCCAATTCACCGGGCAACAATAGACGGACGGCGGTCTGGATTTCCCGACTGGTGATGGTCGAGCGCTTGTTGTAGTGGGCCAAACGAGAGGCTTCGGCGGCAATACGTTCGAAGATATCGTTGACGAAACTGTTCATGATGCTCATGGCCTTGGAGGAGATACCGGTGTCGGGATGGACTTGCTTCAACACTTTGTAAATGTAGATAGCGTAACTCTCCTTGCGCTTGGTACGTCTCTTCGACTTATCGCCCTTGGTAATGTTCTTTTGGGCTTTGCCGGCCTTCTTTGCTGCTTTACCACTGGTTTTAGGAGGCATTTTCACTTATTATTTTTTTTGAATCACACAAACACTTTTAACACTGTTCACAATTGATAACCAAAACATTTCATTCATTTCATTTTTAGCCTATGGCCATTTTATTAATTCAAGTCTTAATACTAACATAGGTTAAATGGCTTAAACCTAACTATACTATAAATAAACATGCATTTGTACAACGCCTACTTTACGTTAACAAAAAGTGTCACAACAAGTTTGTGATCACAACAAGCTACATTATGCCTTATGGCTACAACTTAAATTATGCCCCGAAAAATAGAATAATATAAAAAAAGGGCTATGAAGATCTTATGAACTAGGTGGAAAAAATTAAAACTAAATTAAAACTAAATATTTACAATACACTTAAAACTACTTAACCTAACTTAAGAGAGCTGGGCGGTGTTGTACACCAGTCTACTCCAGTCAGAGGATAAAAATCTTCTATGGTAGAATAGAAGACCTTCATCCCCATGGAGTAAGCGCAGCTCGTTCAGCCTGTAAAGGGCGGCTGGCGGCAAATGCTTACGAGCTCGTAGCTGGTCCGCATCTTCTAAGCACCTAAACGTTCCCTCAACGATGCTATTGTCTATGAACTGGCATTTGTCGAAAAATGCCAGTCCAGTCTTAGTCATAAAGACATCTATCCTGTCTATTTTCGCCCTATCGTAGATCGCCCTACAGGAATAGGATCTATAGGAGCCATCTGCCCTAAGGATGGGGCGCAGTCCCAGACAAGAGGAAAGAATTTTTCTTTCCCACAACCTTAGCCTTTCCATCTGATGTGACGAAATGTCAAACCAGACGGGGAAGGCGTAGGCGATGATAGGTCTGATCACCTGCCGGTAGATCAAAAGCCTAACATCGTGTGAAAGACCACCCCTCATCCTCAAGATTCGACTATATCCGAAATATAGACCCTTAGCCCTAGCCAGGACGTAGTCTATGTGCCGAATATGGTCGAACCTCTAAATATTTCATCTTGTCTGAAACTGGAACCTGCTAAGAACCTATTCTAAGAACCGGCTGAAACCTCTTAAAATTAGGGTATACTATGCCTGGCCGACCAAGAAAGGCCGTAGCACAACATTTCCCTACATTCAACTTTAGGCGCCATGTAACGAAGTACCGATGGAGGGCATCGAGGTACTCGTTAACGACCTAGCAAGCGGACCGGAAAAGGCTAAGAGGACATCATCGGCATAGGTCAGGAGAAGACCACCAGGAGGAGGAGCCGGGATGTCACAAGAAAAGATGTTGTATAACATCGGGCCAAGAAGGGAACCTTGAGGAACCCCTGCCAACACTGGGCGGCGACTAGAGAGTCGCTCACCCACCTTAATCCTGAAGAATCGATCCCTAAGAAAACTAGCGACCATTCTACAGGATTGTCTGTCAAAGCCAAACGATTGGAATTTATATAAAATCCCATCGTGCCAGACAGAGTCGAAAGCCCTGGCGATATCTAGGGAGACGGCTATAGTTCCGTACTTCCTATCAAAACCTTTTCCAACGAAGCTGCTGAAAGCCGTTAAGGCATGGGTCGTGGAGAGACCAGACCTAAAACCAAACTGACAATCCCGCAGAATTCTCCTATCTTCTACGGTTCTTCTAATCCTTGCCAGAATAAAGGATTCGAGTAACTTTCCAAACGGCGATAGGAGGGAAATAGGCCTGTAGTTACCACACTGAGAGGGATCAGAACCCCGCTTCAGGATGGGAACCATCTTGGCCTCCTTCCAAGCCGTAGGAAAGTACCCTAAATTCAGACAATGGTTAAAGAGAATTGTCAAAAAGGACAGAATTACATTTCCTGCCCTTTTCAAAGCTACATCGGGAATTTGGTCCATACCGCAGGATTTACGGGCTGGTCGGCGTGAAAGCGCAAAACCAACCTTCCTGGGATAGACAAACCCGCTATCTCCCCAAAGGGAGATGTTGTACACAGAGGAGCCATTAGCAGTGAATAAACTGCTAAACGACACAACAGGAGAATGGTCTTCAATCCCCTCCACCGCCAAGCTGACTTGGCGCTGGAAGGAATCGGCAACCGAAACTCCCCCATGTCGAAGCGTTCCCTGCACCTGGTCCGCCAACATCTCAGCCCTATTTTCGTCAGAGCTCACCCTGGTACCAGTGGAGTCTACGAGAGGACTGACTGAATCTCGAGAGGAGAGGCCGGCCAATCGCTTGACCTTACCATAGGTCCTGGAATTGACCATAATTCCCTCGAGATAGTCCTTATACCGATCGTTTTCGAATCGGCGAATATTGGCTTCGATGATCTTGTCGAGGTTGCGGATGTCAGCCGTGAGGACTAGTTGTCGCTCAGTATCACCAGATCTACGCAACACTCGACAAAGCCGTCTACGCTCCCTAATAAAACTCGCGATCCTAGGGGGGAGATTGCCCAGGATAGTGCTTTTTGCCCTATATTTGGGCACTGAAGCATCTATGGCATCTCGGAAGGCGGAGCCTTAATCCTCAATGCAGCTATCAATATCCGAAATGGATACGTTGCGGTCGGCTGGCAGAGTTACCTCCTCCAAGCCGCTGCGCAAGCGCTGCCTATATCGACAGATATTCATCCGGTCGAAGTTGTGGAACGACCTGACTTCTCCATTTTGTAAGGAGCCTGACTCTCTTTCTATGAGAATCGCCCTATGGTCGGATTCAAAGTAGTGGGTCGTTGAGGTCGATCTCCCCGCTGCCAGTGCTGCGCCTGGCGTATGCAGGAAGAAGTCGATATACGACCCTGCCGTTCCATTGGGCCTAGTGGGCCTATCAGATGGAATGGCTGCTACATCCGGACAATCGAGAAGGAAGGCACAGATTGCTCTTCCCCTGGTATCGACCTCTGCACCACCCCATAAGGGATGTTTCGCGTTCAGGTCTCCACCAACTACAAGGTCGCCACTGTCGCGTAAAGCGAGTTTGGGGTCCAGATCCAAAATTTGGAAGGGACCAACAGGGCGCTGGTAAACAGAAGCGAAGGCTATGGAGGACCCATCTTCCCTCCAGACCCTGGCGACACAAGATTCTATATCCCCTGAGGAAATGGGGATTTTTTCTGAGCCGAACCTATCTTTTACTAAGACTGCAGTGCCCCCTCTTGGGCCTGTCAGCCTATCCTGCCTATAGATTTTAAAACCTTGGCAGTAAAACTTTTGGCTGGGAGAGAGCCAGGTTTCTGCCAGCAGAATAATGTCCAGCTGATGCTCTAGGACAAAATTCCGCAAGAAGTGCCTCCTAGTTTTAGAAACTATGGAGCTGACGTTTAGAAAAACGCACTTCAACATACCTATTCTAAGGCTATATGGACCATTAGGGCCCACCAAGCATCCGCGTCTCCCCTTTCTTCGCGGATACGCCTAAAACTGGGACCGAACGACCTAACCTTGGTTAATGTCGATAGGTCTCCGAACTCCTTGGGCATGCTGCTCATCAGTCCTCCAATGTCTTGGGTGGGTCCGGATGGGCGGGCGGCGGCAGCAGGAGATTTGGGGGTGGTAGATGGCCGGGTGGGTTTCTGGGGCTGTCCAGATTTTCCTCCCGCAACACCAGCGTAAGTCAGCTTGGCCTTCTCATCAGCGATGCGGCCAGACCTGGCATTTTGTTTGGACTCGGCTTCCAGCTTCCTCTGGGTCCGAGTGGCCAAAATTGCCTTCCGTTTCGGGCAGGAAGGGGAACCTGCAGAGTGGCCTTCCACTTTGCAGTTGACGCATTTGGGTACTGCGTCCGTCTCCTTGTCCTTTCCAAACGTGGGGCACAGGTGGGTCGGATGTCCTTCGCTGCACTTTTCAC